TCATGCTGTGTGACTGCAGAGACAAACTGGTGAGGGCGCTAGGCCAGCCGGTGGGCCAGGCACCCTGGGCGTGAGGCCGCTGACAGGCTCAGCGGCGGCGGCTGACGGCCACAGGCGGCAGGGAGCACAGACATCTGTTGCCCACGCGGCTGCCTGCTTGCAGAGGAAAGGCCTCCACACATCACAGCGGCGGCGGCCTTGTTTGGAGCTGATAGTGATGCAGGCCCTTGGCCAGCAGGCAGACCGGGAGACGGTTTGCCTGGAAGTACCGCCCCACCTTGTCCCTCAAAGTCACACGGCAGCAGCTCAGGCCTGAGGAGCCAGGATGGCTGAGCCTGGGTTTGGGGGGGATCTGAGGAGATTTACGGGGCTGGGGAGGCACAGGCCCCAGCGTGCCCAACAGACACCTCAAGGGCAGGTCCGCAGACACTGTGGATGAGTGGGAGTCCCCACATGCAGGGGTTTGAGACTCAACCCTCCCATGCCTCCAGGGCCTCCCCCACTCGGCAGGGATAGCCACACTCAAGACAGGAAGGAGGCTGGCTGCCTAGCAGAGCTGGGACCTTGCAACCTCAGCCTACACGACTTCCAATAAATTGTCCAGGGCTCCTTCCCCGCACACCACAGTGATTGCTGGCTCCAGCGCATCCACAGCGTTCCAGGCCACACCCTGCAGGGTGTTGGTCCCAGCTCCCCAGCAACCAGTGCCTGGAATGAACACTACCGTGTGCCCAACGCCCCATGGAAGCTTTTTGCCCTGATGATCCCAGACTGTCCTCACAGCAGCGCTTAGAAGGGAGAACTCCCTCTGGCCTCGCACTACAGATGGGGACACTGAGGCTCAGAGAGGCTAAGGTGGTGTGCCCAGAGAAGCAGAGCAGGGACAGGAGTCCAGGCCCGTCTGGAGCTTGCTGTGACTGCATGGAATGACAGGGCACTGACTCTCTGGCTCCTGGCCATCACAGCCTCTAGGCTGGGCGGAGTAGAGCAGGGGCTGGGGATGTCATAGCGGCTACAGGTGAGGGGCTGGTTCATGCCCCAGCCTCCCAGCTGACTCACTGCTCCCTGCCTCCCTTCCTTCTGTCTGTTTATCCTGCACTCACCAGCCAGAGGGATGGGCTTGAATTCAACTCTGTCCTGTGACTCCCCTTGGAACCCTCCATGGTTCCCACCTACCAAGGAGAAACAGCAGCTTCTTACCTGGGCCTGCAGAGCCCACAGGCCTGGCCCCTGCTCCTTCTCTGGCTTCATCTCTTCCACTCTCTCTCCCCTCCGTAACAATGCTTCGGTCATAAGCCTGCTTTTACTCTCTCTCCCAGATAAGCCATTATACACGATGACCCTTCCACCTGGGACACTCTCTCCTTCCCTCCCTTTTTGCAGAAAAGCACACAGTAGTTATGAGCATCGTTCTTGGAGCTGGTGGGCCTGGATTGAAATCCTAACTCCCATGTATCAATCGAGGGCCCTCCTGCCCTTCTCTGGACCTCAGTTATCTCGCCCAGCAAATGGGCTGGCCTTCAGGGTGAATGAGACAATGCAAGGAAAGTGGGTCGGGAGAGTCACCATTTCCTGGCCTTGTGCCCTGTCTGACCAGAACTCTCCAGGCTAGCGGAGCTGGCAGGAGTTTAGCCACCTCTGCTTTCGAGAACTTCCCCACCCACGGGAGCCTGAATGAACCCTTGTGCTGGCTGAGTCATCCTGCAGCTATTGGCCCCCCTGAGGAAGAGGACTCCTCTCCAGGGTGGGGACTGGGGTGAGCTGTCCCTCCCCCTAAGCCTCTCCTTCTTTGTCTGTAATCAGGGAGGACAATGCATCTGCCTCACCAGGGGCATGAGGGGTTGCCACGAGCTAGTTATGGGCAAAGCGTTGAGCCCAGGCCGTGTCACAGAGCACATACGCGTATCTGTGAAGAAGGACCTGGGGCAGAGCCTTGAGGGGCGGAGGGTGGAATGGAGCCTAGTGGGCCCCTCGCCAGGGAGGACAGGCCTGTGCAGGTAGGTACCTGGGCCCTGTGAGTGAGCATTAATGGTGGCAGATGGCTGTAGGTGTCATGCTCCAGAACACTCCCTGGGGCAGCCTATTTCAGGGCAGGTCAGCTCAGGCAATGCCCACACCAGGACTACAGCCAAGCAGCTGCCGGCACCTCAGCTCTGTTCACTCACTGCTGAGCACTAGCTGAGCTGAACCTGGCCGGGTGTCCAGAAACTCCGACCCCCGCCCCTGCCCCAGTAGGAACAGGTGACTGGCAGCTCTTGAGCCACAGCTGGGCGCTGCTGGAGAGACTGGGTAAGAATGAGGGTGCCTAGTGTCCATTTCCGAAGGCTGTGCCAGGACTGTGGACAGGGCAAAGGGTTCCCTGGGCCACCTCCTCAGGCCTCCCCATGAGCCCAGCCTCAAAGGGGTCCTCATCGAGGGACCAGCATTGTAAGAGGCTCCAGCTTGACCCTCTGGGGTCAGTGGTGACCCTGGGGTGGCCTGCGTGCCTGTCCTGAAGAGGAAGTTGAGGTGAAGCTGTGACCCAGGAGTGCAGGCTGGCAACTGGAACGTAGATGTAGCACGGAAATGGAAACAGCCCTGGACGTGCCGGGGAGGTGATGCCCCAGACCTGGGTGGGGCGCTAACAACCTTCAGGGAACAGAGAGGTACAGGGGCTGCGCCAGGTACGGTGAGAGGCCAGAGCAGGGGCTTCCCGGGGAACCGGCCTCTCTGCTGAGACCGGAAGGATGAGGGGAAGAAAGCAGGTAATGAGGATTTGGGGTCAAAGGAAAGAATGAATGTTGCAGGTAGAGAGAAGAGCACCTGCAGGCGTGTGGAGGTGAAAGAGACCTGGTGCCTGTGAGTGCCCCGGGACATTCGGATGGTTTAGAGTGTGCGTGGGTGGAGGTGACTGTGGGGTGAGGGCGAGAGGAAACAGTAGGAAGCCAAGGTCACGGAGGGTTTGAATGTCGAGGGGCCACTACGTGATCTGGCTGGGGGCGCCATCTATGCAGGGCACCTGTGACATGTCCGTGCTTTGTACGTATTAAGGAGCACATGTATCCCTGCATGTCCCTTGCATGTCCTCGGGCAGATACGCAGGCTGCGGCAGTAAAATCCCCCTTGTCTGCCCCAAGGCCAGGTGGGAGTTCAGCCAGTCTCTTGGCCTGCCCACCCACCGGTCTTGTTGGAAGCAGGGCCACGCTGACTAGTTTCCGGTGGTTGGAAGGGTCAAGAGCAAAGCCTGCAGCAGGGCCACACAGTGACCAGTGTCCAGCCATCTGGCTTGTCCACCCACAGGTCCATGCTGGCAGCAAGGCTGCACTGGCGGCCCTGTGCCCCGGAGACCTGATCCAGGCCATCAACGGCGAGAGCACGGAGCTCATGACACACCTGGAGGCGCAGAACCGCATCAAGAGCTGCCACGACCACCTCATACTCTCTGTGAGCAGGTACGGCCAGGGCCAGCAGGGCTGATGGAAGGTGATGGTAAGTCATGGGTGGGCAGCGGGCTGAGTGAGCTGGGCCTCGCAGCCTCGCTGCCTCAGCTGCTGGGCACCCCTGTCCTGAGGAGGAGTGCTTTCATGGGGTGCTGGCAGGTGCTGGGTATGGGCGGTAGCTTAAGAAGGGAGGGAGCCCCCTTTTAGCTCAGGGCTGGGCGTGTGGTGGGGGACTTGTGGCAGTGGGTTGGCAGTCCCAAATCAGGGCTGAAATAAGACCTTGGGCAGCCTCTGGAGGGGTGACTTCAATCCCTCCCCCCCACCCCGTGTGACCAGCTTGATGACCATTTCAAAGAAGCTTCTTATTCATTGAACCCTTAGACCAACTTGATAAAGTAAAACCTAATACAGTGCTCAATCTGCAGCTGGGGCAGCTGGGGCTCAGAAGGATTAGAGGGGGCTTCAAGTCCCACGGTGAGGGAGTTGGGAAGCGAATTTGGCCTCCCACCTTTCTCACTCCCAAAGGCTCCTCTGCGTCTGCGTACTGCACAGCACTCCTGCCAGCCCCGTAGCTGCGGTGCCTCAGCTGTCCCCGCTGCGGCCCACGCCTCTGCCCTGGTAACATCTGGATGCCACAAGCTGTGTAATGTGACGTGACACAGTCCCTCGTGGGGGTGAGAGTGGGGAGTCACCATACCCCAAGTGCGCCGTACAGATGGTCTAGGGTGGACGGTCACTCAGGCTCTGGGTCTTTGTCCAGCTCTCGTGGCCGTCGGCTGGGTCGTGGCCGAGTGGGATCTTCCCGCCCCCGTCTTGCTTGGATACAGGGAAGTCCGACAGAAGTGCTGAGTGCTGCCATATTCACTGTTAACAGGGACTTTCCACAGCCCGCTCTGGACATGCGTGGGAGAAGCCTCCGCAAACCACAGCACAGCTGACCGTGCTTAGAGACAGCCAGGAGGGGGTGACCCATCAGCCTGGAGCCGTTACACACGGTGGGAAGGCTTCTGAAGTAGCCCCCTTTTGTGTCTGGCCCAGGCCGGTGTCCAGACTGGGGTCAGGGCCCCTGGCTGTGCTCTCCATGCTAAGTGGCTCCAGCTGTAAGTCCAGGTCGTGTGCACCCAGCCCCCCCACCCCCCGGCCGTAGTGCAGAGGCCCCAGCGTGGGGACTGCAGCAGAGCTGGCCCTCCTCCAGGCTCTGGGACCTTAAGCTCCCCAGATGACCTCTGTGGGCCTGGGCCTCCTTCTCTACACAGCAGGGTCACATCTGTCACCCGCTCCCAGACTGAGGCATAGGCTGGCGGTGGAAACCTCAGCACTGCTCTGGCCACGAGTGGCCTCTGGAGCCGCCCCACTTGGCTGGGTTCCTGGGCCCTGACTCACCTCTGGCCTTGACTCTCCTGGCTGAATAAGGGAAGCCCTGGTGGTACTGGGGCTGGGGATGACGGGGGTGGGGGATGTTGCGGGAGAGGCTCACAGAGGGCAAGAGTCAGGAGGTTCCCAGAGGCAATGATGTCAGGGAAGGGTGGTGGGGTGGGGGCAGGGTGGAGGGCCCCCTTCCTTCCTTCCTTCCCTGGTCATTTGGTCCGAGCCCAGCATGGATGGAGCCAGGGGTCCTCTGACCTGTTCCGCTCTGGGCGTTTCAGCCCGACGTGCTGCCCGGCCATGGAGCAGGTGGGAGCACACTCTCTTCTACCACAGTTACTGGCCCGGCTCCGCATGGGAGAATCCTCCAGCAAGTGATTGGATTTCAGAGCCCTTCGCCCCCTCAACTCCAAAACGGGGCTGTCTTGTGATCTGGGGACTGAGCAATGGTGACATACCAAGTCTGTTCAGTCAGAGCGAAAACCTGGGGTCCAGTCCCCTAGCCCCGCCCCCAGGGGTCACACCTGGGGATCAAGAACAGGGGCCATGTAGATCCTCCAGGTCAGCCTCTCTTCTCCTGGGCACCTTCTAACCTGCAAGGCCCCCGACTCTGTTCACTGTCCTGCCAGGACCTATGCTGCACTCGGGCCCCAGCGGGCCCCCAACATGGGCTCCACCCAGCCCAGCTGCCCTCCCTGGCCTCCTGTGTATGGAGGAGGGCTTTTGCCCTCCACAGGCTTTCCCAGAGGTTGGGAAATGAAGTAGAGGCCCAGATTCCCTGCCATGCCTACTTGTCTGGAACTCAAAGCCAGGTGTCCGACAGCTCAGGCTAATCCACACTCTCTGGGCATGCTCCGTGGGGCCGGGACTGGCCCAGCATCAGCTCCAGCCCTGGCGCCTCTGCTGGGGCCTCTGGGGCCCATTGTGTGTGGTTCAGAGGCTTTTGCACAGCCCACCCTTGGCTGTCATTTTGCCTAACGATGGCAGGTGGGGGCACCTGTGCAGCCTGAAGTGAAGGCCTGGCCATGCAGTCGGACACATGAATAAGCCCTTCATTCTAATCTGATGCCCTATGGCTCCAGGGACTTTGTGCCCTCTGACCTTCAGACCTCAGACCTGCATTTCTGTTCTGGGCAGAACCTTGGGGAAGGAAGCAGGTGGCCACTGTGCTCCCGCCAGGCGTATCATGGCGCTCTCTGTGGGTGGAGGCCTTGTGAGAGCTGTGGGGGTGGTCACCCGGTAGCCTGGCTGAGAGGCCTGGAGCCAGATGCCAGGAGTGCGGTGTTGCCCCAGGGGCAGCAGAGGTCCCTGCCGCAGCCCCCAGAAGGCTGCAGGGAGAGAGGAATGGCACAGGTGAGGAAACGCAGAATGGATGTGGGCTGCATGTGCAGAAAGCATTAAAAAGCCTCTGGTGCATGGGGGAGAGAGGTAGGGTTGAGCTGCTGGCCCCCTGGTGAGTGGTCAAGAAACCCCAGGAGGCCTTTTGGGGTGAAGCGGGGACAGTATTCCTCTTTAGTCTACCCAGCCTCCCTTCACACTCACTGGCCAGCCCAAAGTCCACACACCACCCCCACCGGCCTGCCTCCCCGCAGGGCTACTGAGTGGCAGGCCTGGGCCCCGGCCTGCAGCCTCTCCACCCGCCCGCCTGCCCTGCTCATGGCAGGTTTACGATGTTTTTCTCCCTACTGAGTGGTGTTTGGCTTCTAGTTTCTATGGTGAATCAGGAATTTCCTAATGGCCTGTTTCCCATCTGGGCCGGGCAGGCATTGGTGATGACTCTGCCGGCATCGGCAGGAGGGAGGCGCACCCCTCCCAGCCTCCTGCGTTAGGCCTGCCCCAGAGCCCACAGATGAGAGGGGTGAAGGGATGGCAGATGGACATGAGGGGCCTTCTGCGGGCTGAGCTTATTTAGGTAGGCCACAGAGAGGGTAGAAGAGGGAGAAGCTGCAGCTTCCTCTCTGGGAGTCAGACCAGAGAGGGACGGAGCAGCTGAGACACACAGCCCCATCCCAGGTGGTTGGCAAATCCAGCGTCTCCTTGCCACAGTGGCCACCATTTGGGCACAGGGGAAAGCACTGGGGTGATGTCCTTCTCCATACAGACATGCCAGGACTGGTCCTGGGTGTCTCAGCCCAGAACCCAGCCCCTCTGGGTCTTAGTTCCCAGGCATAGTAAGCAGAAATATCTGACCATCCTAATTCCTGCTACAGGCCTGAAGGCAGGAGCTGGCCCGGTACCCCAGAGGACAGCAAGGCTCAGGCACACAGGATCCACATCGAGCCTGAGGCCCAGGTATGTAAAGGCTCTGAGCATGCCCAGGAAGAGGGGCCAGGCCTGGACCACAGGTTTAACTGCACTGGATGTCCTCACCGAGGCTCCCGGATGCTCAGGCTAGACTGAAGCAGAAGGCTTCTTGGGGCCATGCCCAGCCCCCTCCCACATTCCCCAGGTGATGGGGGCTCTGTCTGTACTCCACCCAGCCCTGGATCTGGCACTAAGGTGTCCGTGGTGGGGAGGGACTGGGCCAGGCCTTGGCTCAGGGCTGCCACCCAACCAGCTGGGTTTCACTCTGGTGCCCAGTGATGGCAGACTGGGAGGATGTCACAGGCTGTGGAGTGACCTCAGGCAATGCGGTGCTCTTCTGTTTCATCCTAGCCTTAGGTACCCACCTGGCCGGAGCCGCAGGGCTGACCTTAGAATGCCAGGCAATTCCTTGCCCTGTCCAAGGCTGAAGTTTTCTCCTGGCATCCGGTGACTGCGCCTAGCAGACCTCAGGCTGGAGGCCTACGTGCTCAGTCACCTCTTCATGTATGACAGAGTCACTGTGCTGTCCTCAAGGAGAGTGAGGGAATCCAGGCTGCTCTGTGGCCTCTTTTGGCCGTGGGCTTACGGGGCAGCCAGTTGGCAAGACTGAGGTATCCAGAGCCGGCTCAACATCCCCATGTCACCCAGTTTGGGCAAGGTGGAGTTTGGGCTGGTGTGTGGTGGAGCTAGAACCGTGAACCCCAGCACGTGGGGCCGTAGCCTGCTGAGCCTGCTGAGTCCACTCTTGCCCTGGAGGCTTTGCTGTATCAGAGGAGAGGATGTGCTGTGGCCTGTCCCTCACCATCTATCCCAGTCCCCAACTTACTCTGACATTTGTTCCCTACCTTTCCCTTGCTGGTGAGGTCAGGTGCTTATCACATGTCAGGGAGTACCTGTTCTGGAAGGGGGGAGACACTTACCGGTTCTGGGATGGCAGAAGCCAGGGCTCTAAGGAGTCCACGTGACTCTATCAAGGGATCAAAGAGGGCTTCCTGGAGGAGGGGGTATCTAAGCCAAGACCCAAAGGAGAAAGAATAAGGCCGAGAAAAGCATGGAAAGAACACATGTGCCAGGAAGCATACCAAGGCCCAAAGGTGAGTCTGTATACCATAGGTCAGAGGGAAGAAAGGTCTCAGGGGGTGGGAGGGGAGAGGCAAGGGGCAAGGTGATAGGGCAGGGTCACAAAGAGGGTCTTGGTTTGCTCTATCCAGAACCTCAGCTGTTCTTGCAGAGATTCATGGCCACACCTGTGTCTCAGAAGCTTGCTCTGGTAGTCCCGTGAACCCAGGGCCCATAGGAGCAGGTGGAGACGGCAATGGGGAGGACACGTGACAAGTCAACCACACCTGACTTGGGCCAGGCAGAGGGGACCAGTGTAGCACAGGCCCCCTATGTGAGGTTTGTGCCAGGATGGGTAGGACGAAGGGGCTCAGCTTGCTCTGTTCGGCCTCTAGGAGAGGCTCAGGGCCAGCGGGCCTGGGGGGCGAAGGGCTGCAGAGTAACTCCCCCTGCCCCCACGACCTCTTCTAGGACCAGGCTGCTGAGGCTGGAAGCAAAGGGATTTTCCACAAGCAACAGGGCTGCTGCCTGCCTTTGTACTTAAAAGGTCAGGAGCTCCATGGGTGGTGAAAGAAATTCCCCCACCCAGCCCCTGCAAAGCTGTATCCAAAGTAACACAGACACAGGGCCCATTGTCCCACACTGTTCCCACCCTCCGCCTGCAGGGGGGCGAGGGTGGGCCCAGCCAGCGCCAACAGAGCAGCAGAAAACCACAGTTGGCCCTAAGACCAGCACAAGATGCCCTGGTACCAACCCCACGTGGGGTGCGACAGGGCCAACGGGAGCTTCAGGCCGACCTTGTGTGGAGGGTTATAGGAGATGCTCCTCTCAGGCCTCACGTGGGAGCACAGGAGGCACTTGGCATGGTCCAGAGTGGAGAAAGGACGGTGATAAGGAACGTTTTCCTGCGGGGGCATTTAAGCTGAGAACCAGGCGATGGCTTAAGGCTAGCCAGGTGCAGCAGGCAGCCCTTGCACACTCAGCCTGTTCTCTCCAGACTAGCAGAGGGCTGGAGCTTGGCTTCTGGAAGGTGCCATCAACTCAGCACCTACCTCTGTCCAAGGTGAGTGTTCACATTCTGACTACAGTCATGTGGGAGCTGATGAGCAAGGAGGCAGTTACCCCCGTCTTGCTCACTAACCCAGCTGAGTCTTCAACAACCAAATCAGCAGCTGGCAGGTACTCAGAGCGTGCGAGCACACGGAACCAGGTACGCCACCACAGAGAGGGGGCCCAGGGATGGGGCTCAGGAATGCCCATGACAGCTGTTTATCCAACAAGCGTTTGCTGTGTGGCAGGCGCTATGCTAAGTGCCTTGTATGCAACCATCTCATTGTATCCCCACAAAGAACTTATGACATAGAGCTCATCACATGCTCCATTTCACAGATGAGGAAACAGAGCTTCAAAGGTGAAGTGATTTGCTCAGTTAATGAGTGATAGAGCTGGGACTGGAATCAAGACCGAGGTCACTATGCCCTATCCACTGAGTTCAGACCCTGCCATAGCCTCACACCCTGCTGGGTGGGCGTGAGTGAGGGCCTCCTTCCCCCAGGTCCCTCTGACTTCCCCTTCCAGTTGAAGCCTGCTCTGTACCAGGCCCAGCCCTGCCCCCATGGCCCATCTGGTCCCCATTAGAGGCCAGGCCAGCCTTGTCTGCCTGCTTGCCCCCAGACACGAGCACTCGAATGATCAGATTTCCCAAGGGCTCATGTTGGGCCCAGAGGGAACGAGAGTTTTCCTGCTGCTGTTGCATCCTTGATGGGGGCCCACCTGGGCGGTGCAAGACCCTCTCCTTTGTCCGTCGGGGTGGGTTCTGTGTGGTATCACCCCCATTCGGCTGCTGGCCCACCCGCTCATTCTCCAAGCTCCTGCCCAGCTCCGAGCCTGCAGAAAGCAGGGGCAGTCTGGCAGAGCCCTGCAGCCTGGACAGTGCCCCAGTGCTGGAGGCAGCTTGAGCTCGAGTCAGGCTGGTCCCCCCCCGGGTTAGGCATCCTTTCCTCTTCGCCTAGTGTCCCTGTCCCCACAGCAGAGCAAAGGGGAAATTTATGTGTCACCTTGCAGGCTGAGGCCCAGACCACCTTCATGGCTTGGAGGATTGGGCCCCACCCTTCAGTCAGGCTGCTGTGGCCACCAACCTGGTTCCGGCCATGGAGGCCACCCTGGTCATCCCCAGGGTGACCAGCACTGGCTCTGAGTGTGTGTGACTAGGTTGTGTAGGTGGGGCTGGCGTGTGTTGTCCTCATGCACGTGTATGTCTGTAAACACACTTGTGAGAGTGCGTGTGCCTGTGTTCGCATTGCTGTGTGCCCGTAAACATGCACCTGCACAGCCCCAGACTCTACAGGGACAGGGACCTCCAGTCCCCTTTGGGACCCACACCCACAGAGATCCTCCTCTCCTTATGGGCTGAGGAGGCATGTTGAGGGAACTCCTCCCCAAAACATTTCAGCCATGGCATCCATCTGGCCGTGCAGTAGTGGGCTGGGGAGCCCTGAATCCTGGCCCTGCCTCTGCCCCCCCCATCTGCTATGCCTGCAGAAGGCCTGGGAAACAGGGAATGGGGGTAGAGGTGGAAGCTTAGTGGGGGCTGACCACACAATGGCACACTGGAACCTCAGCCTTCCCCCACCGAAGGCCCGTGGGCACACAGTGTTTGACGACCTTTCCTGGCTTCAGGACAGGAGTTACTTTTTTGTTCCTAGCCACTGACGCGTCCAGGATCCAGGCCAGTTCTGGCAGGCGGGGGGGGGGGGGGTGGTTGGCACCAGGACCACCTCTACAAGGAAGCCCTTCACTCTGCTCCAGTCCGGCTGGCCTTACGGAGCCACTGGGGATGCCCCTAGTGGTCGGAACTACCAGGGCTCAGGAGCCAAGGCTGAGCCTCAGGCCCTCAGTTTTCGCGTCTGACTTTCCATGGGCGTTTGGGGGAAGGATGAACCAGGCCCAACAGACCCCCTCCCTGGCTGGGCACAATCACCCAGAGATGTCAGAGCAGGGGTAGCTGGCAGGCATCCAAGAAGGCCCAGCGTAGCAGGGGAGGGAGTAGGTCTACTAGGAATGGCCATAGGCCCTACCCCAGAGGGTCTCCCCGAGCCTCAGGCTTCTCTCTTTCTCACAGGATGGCAGTCCAACCACCAGCAGGCGGCCCTCAGCCACGGGGATTGGCCCAGAAAATGGCCGATCTCCTTACGGGCAGTCACCTCGCCTCCCGGCCCCTCACAATGGCAGCAGCAGTGAGGCAGCCCTGCTGGCCCAGATCAGCAGCCTGCATGTGTCTCCACTCCACAGGTAGTACCGGAAACGTGACTTTTGCAGCCACACCTAAATCCCCTTTTAAGCCCTGATCCCTCACATCTCACGAGGTCCCATCCCGACCCTGACGCTTGATCCGTGGGTTGCAGCTGCCTACATTCTGACCCATGAAACTTTCGCCAGACCCCTGAGCGGGCAGAGTGAAGGCTGGCACTGCAACCCTGTCCCCTCGCGCATCTCTTTCGACCAGCACTGACCCAGCCAGAGGCCTCCCGCGGAGCCGAGACGGCGGCATCGACTTGGGCTCCGAAGTGTACCGGATGCTGCGGGAGCCCGCCGAGCCCCTGGCCGCCGCGGAGCCCAAGCAGTCCGGCTCCTTCCGCTACTTGCAGGGCATGCTGGAGGCCGGCGAGGGCGGTAAGGCGCCCTCCCCCTTGCCCACGTGTCTTCCCACTCCTTGAGGGCCCCGGACCGTCCCCCTACTGCCCCCAAGCGGCGCCTTCTCGACCCCAGGTCCTGCCTCCCAGCCCCCCGCCCCTCCCTGGTCTCCTCCGCCTGGTCCCACACCCCTCGCGGCGCCGCCCGGTCGCGGCCCGTTTCCCCGCGCCCTCCAAACCCCCTGCCCACTCTGTGTGCCTGTGCCGATGTCCCCGGAAGCCCGGCTCAGCCCCACACCCCGCAGAAATGCGGTTTTTACCTTTCTCGATCACCACTTGCCCACACCTGTCTCATGCCACCCGCGCTCCGGCTTTCAGGGGAGCGGCCCGGGACTGGCGGCCCGCGGAACCTCAAGCCCACTGCCGGCAAGCTGGGAGCCCCGCTGAGCGGCCTGCAGGGGCTGCCGGAGTGCACACGCTGCGGCCACGGCATCGTGTGAGTACCCGCCTCTGCCTTCCCCACGCGGCCGCGCTTCTCCCCACGCGCCCGACGCCCTGACCGCGCGTGCTCGCGAATCTGCCGCCCGACGCTGTCCTCTGCTGGTCTCCCAACAGGGGCACCATCGTCAAGGCGCGGGACAAGCTGTACCACCCCGAGTGCTTCATGTGCAGCGACTGTGGCCTGAACCTCAAGCAGCGCGGTTACTTCTTTCTGGACGATAGGCTGTACTGCGAGAGCCACGCCAAGGCGCGCGTCAAGCCCCCGGAGGGCTATGACGTGGTGGCAGTGTACCCCAATGCCAAGGTGGAACTCGTCTGAGCTGCTCCTGGAACACCCCCTCCCTGCCTCTGCTTCTTTTAATGGCCTGCGCGGCTCGTGTAAATATGTTTGCCCCTCTAATAAACTCCCTCTACCGGAGCTCGACCGCAGCAGTGCCTCGGCCTGTCTCCCTCCAGCGCAGGCCATGGCTTCCAAGGGCTCCCTGTTCAGGTTCCAAGCATGTCCTGAGCACTGGGTGCAGCGATGAGCAAGACGGGTACTGGGCAGTCCAAGGAAGCCACAGCCTGGGTGATGGCGGAGTGAATCACTAGGGGCAGTTCTATTCAAAGTGGCAACGTCTGGGGTGCTGTATGGTGACGCCATGCCAAGAGCTCTGACCTCGGTGGAGTCAGAGAAGGTGTCAGCTGAGAACTAAGAAATAAGGAGGAAGAGCTTCACAGGCTGAGGAACTGTGTGTGAAAAGGTGTGGCCAGGGTGAGCACAGACAGGAAAGGCCCCATCTGGCCACCAGCACGATCACGGGCAGCCCCTAGCAGCCACAGGAGAGACTGCCCCAAGGGGTGTGTGTATGACTGCAGAGGTTAGGACTCTGCGGGCAGTGTCTGTCTCCCTGCACTCTCCCAAACTCTCTCCTGGTGTTTCTCCCTTTCCCCCCTTTTTTCTTTCCCCTTCTCCTCTCTCACCACCAGGGAGCGCACCTAGTGTGGGGCATGGGGCAGAGCGGGATGGAAGTGGGCAAAGGGGAGTATTTCACAAAGAACACTGGGCTGGAGCCATACCCTTCAAGAAGCTATGTCTCCAAAGCCCAGAGGCTGGTCGTTACACCGTGTGCGGCAGCCTCGAGCTTTACACCGCTGGGTAGCACGCACACTGGTACAGACTCACTCTCTTTAAAAGTGTTAATGCTAAAAAAAAAAAAAAAAGTGTTAATGCTGCCAGAGCTGGTGAGTAGCGTTCCTTGCACCCGAGGACGCTCCCGGACTCCGGGTCACATGCAACTCTCCTCAGGACTGGAAGCGGTCTCATTTATTTAGTGCTGATATAGTCAGTGAGCCCGAATACACACGCTTGTGCTATTGTCAATTCTGTACTGTCACAAACCGCAGAAGACTGTCATCAGGTCGCACTCTCACCATCAGCACACAACCGTACTCATTTCCTCGTGCTCTTGCAACACAGGACATCATTTTCCCCACTTTTGCCAACCTAAGTAAAACGCGGTCTGTAGTTGCTTTAGGTTGCATTGGTCTAATTACCCAAGAGGAACATTCGCTCAAATGCATTGTGTTTGTTGTTGAGTGCTGAGCGAGCAGGGGGGAACAGAGTGGTCTTCTCCAAGAGTTCTTGTGTGAAATGCTCTAAACCCTCCACTCTTTTTTCTGAGCATCATTTAAACTTTAGGAAAAAAATAGGAACTTTTCATATTTTTGTAAGAATCCTTTTGTAAGAAACAGTTACCCTACTAATCTATTTTCCTATTCCAGTGGCAATATCACACTGATTTAATTACCGCCGTTTAACAAAGAACTTGTTCCTCATTTACAAATGTGTCAGAGCTATTCTTGTACGTGCGTGCTCAGTGGTCAGGTTTAGACTCAGTATGTCAGGCTGTGGGAAAACAAGCAAACCAACCTCTGAACCATGCATGGCTGGGGTAGCCCTGGATCTAGAGACTCCCTGAGAACTGGCATAGAGTCCTTTCTTCCTGGGGAATACTGTGATCTGGGCTTACTAGCCCATTTATTCGGGTGCCAAGTATGCAGTCTCATCCATGCTTATTTCCGTTTTCTTCCAGTAGAACTCGTGTTCCAGCTTTAATTTGCTCCTAGGATTATTTCCAAAAGCTCCTCCCGCCGCTCCCGCCGCTCCCGCCGCTCCAGCCCCTCCCTGAGGGAGCACAGCCCAGGGCATTGCGCAGGGGCCCCTGAGCTCTGTAGCGAGAAGAGGGGCCTGGAATCCTGCGGGTGATCCCAGCCTCCCCAACCTTGCACCTCTCTGCTCCCCCCGGGGTCACACGCTGGGCAGCGAAGCCCCGCCCCTCCCGGCGACGCACACGCACCGGCGCACGCATGCGTACTCACGATCTCCCCCCCCCGCCTCGGGCAGCGTCCGAGTAGGCTGAGACTGTGGGCCCTTCCGTCGGCACCCCACGTTTCCTGCTGCGGGGGTCAGGCTTTACCCTGTCATAGGCGGGGAGGACGGGCAGCCTGGGAAGCCAGGAGGCGCGGGAACCGAGTAGAGATACAACGGAGCTACGGGCACTGGCCTCCGGCGGACTCTCAGACCCAAATCCGCAGACTCCGCCGCCACCACCCCCCCCCCCCCCGTTTGCACCCGCCGCCGTAGAGTCACCAGGCGCCGAGACTCCCCTTAATCCCGGGACGCTCAGTCACCCCCTCCTTCCAAGGGAACAGCCACCGAAGTTGAGGGGTCCTTGAGCTCTGTGGCACCATCGGCACCCCCAAAACCAACAGCTTGGCCCTCACAGGGCTGCGGCCGCCGGAGCAGCCCTTGTCCACACAGGCACCCAGGGGAGGCGTCGGCCGGGGAGACAGGAGCTGACAGGAGTGGTGTCCAGGGCTGTCGGGCTGGTTCGTCCTCCCTGTGGTTCACTACTCAGTCTCTGCCTCTGTGGGACATTCTCTCTGTGACCCAGGGTCCTGGACCTGCGATGGGGCAGGAAGAGAGACAGATCAGGTTCCCCAACTCAGAGTGCCCCAGCCCACCCAGCCAGGCTGAGCTCTCACTGTCCCCAAACCTGCCCCTCTCCCAGGCCCTCACCTCCAGAACCTTCACCAGAGACTTGCACGTCATCCTCTAAACCCACACCTCAACCATCCCATCCCGCCCATCACTCTGTCTGGAGTTGTGCCTCCTAAGCATTTCTGGGGGCCATTTCAGGGGAGCTGGAGGATTCTCGCACTCCCTCGCTTCATGGACCCCTCCATGGCCCCCAGGGCCCTGAGGTTGAAGGTCTGGATTGATCAGTTATAGGCCTAGCATTTGAAACCTCTGTGACCTCACTTCCCCTCTTACACCAGGCAGTTGACCATTCTCTGAGCCGTCCTGTCTTTTCCTATGCCTCAAAATGCTTTTATTCTTCTTCATCCAGCAAACTCATCCTCACTCTTCAAGACCCAGCTCCACTGTCCCCTTCCCTAGAGCCAAGCCTTGGTCTGCCCATCCCCAGGCAGAGGCAGTAGTTCCCATCCACATGCCCTTCACTCCATCCCCTCCACAACCTGTCAGCAGCTGGGGCAGAGCCTGGCCCAGACCTACCTCTGTCCTGCTCAGAGCTAGTCCGGGCACCGAGAGGTGCAGGAGCCCTGGGGCCAGCACACACACAGACACAGCCTGGGCTTCCTTGCCTCCCACCACCTTTTTCCTTGAGGAGAGCTGCCTCCCCCCTGGCAACCTCGACCCACTCATTCAACTACTTATTTACTAAGATTTTACTGTGTTCCAGGCATGGTGCTACCTCCTGGGAAAACATTTTGAATAAACAAGTACAGATTATAAGCAGTGCCATAAAGGAAAAATATAGGTCATCACCGGAGAAAATAAGTGATCCTTCATGTAAGGAATTTAGAAAGACCTCACAAATACAGTGAGACCTGAGGTGGTGAGGTGTGGGCATCTGAAGAAACTGCAGCCCAGGCAGAGGGGGCAGGGAATACAAACGCACCGAGTAGGGCAGGGACAGGGGGCGTGTGCTTGCTCATCCTACGAACAGTGAAGAAACGGCAGCAGAGGTGTCAGTGAGGTGGCTAGGTGCAGTAGATGAGATCGGAGTGATGTGGGGACAGGCAGGCTGACCATGTTGGCCTTGTAAGTCACAGGAAGGACTTTGGATTTCACTCTGAGATGAGAAGCCAGAGGAATGGTATGACTTTTATGTTTTAACCAGAATCAGCCAGGCTGCTGTATGAATAGGCTGTGAGGGGCAAAGGTGGAAGCAGGGAGACCAGTTAGCAGGCGTGACTGTATTCATCCTCACTAATCCCTTACTAGCCCACTCCCCTCAGCCCCCAGAGCTGCAGCCCCAGTCCGGCCCCCCACATTCTCCTGCCTGGGTGCTGCAATAGCCTCCTCCCTGGCCTTCCTGTCTCCTGTCTGGCCACTCAGTCCCCTCTCCACCCAACAGCAGAGGGAGCTTTTTAAAATGCAGTTCTGATTCTGTCACTCCTCTCTACTAAAACTCCTGGCTGCTCATTATTCTCAGGACAAAGTCTAAACTCCCAGTCCCTGCCCACAGGCCCCAGGACATGCAGCCCCTGCTGACCTCTGCTGACAGCCCGGTCCCCATAACTCACACTGATCTGCAGGTTCAGCTTCATCAAGCTCTCTTCCAAATTCTTGTGGCCTCCCTTGACCTTTCAAGGAGCTTGGAACGAAAACTAAGTCCTTCCTCTAAACTCTGGGTGTGACACTCTTATTGCCCTGCCTTCTTCCTTGAGAATCAAGGGTGGGGTGAGGGCAGGAGAACGCTACAGGGGGCATCATGCCAACCCTCCTCTCTTCCTGGCCCAAGATCTAGCCCCTCTAAAGGGCAGGCACAGTAGCCTGGCCCTGGGCTCACAGTCCACGAACAGCTGAGTTGGGGGAAGGAGAGAGGTGTTTCGAGCTGGGCTCTGATGTGCAGAGGACCAGGCTGTGGGCCCAGGGAGTCTCCCAGTCCCCCTGGGGAGTGCCCTGCCAGCTCCTCTGCCTCTGGGTCTCCCTGCCCAGCTCACCTGCACTCCAGCTCTATTCTGACAGCTCATTCTTACCCAAGATTACAGCTTTGTATCCTTGGGCCCCAGACTCTTCGCAACTCTGGGTAATTTCATGATTTACCATTTCCCTACACAATATTCCTCAGTACCCCTAAAGGGAGATGGAAGTTTAAAAGGGGTTGAGGGTGGTCAAGTGGTCTCTGTGACAAGCAAGGACTGTCCTTCTGTTCCCACCACCAGCAGGAAACTCTATTTGGGTCCCTAGAGAAACCAACTTTCATCTTTGTTCCCGTCCAACAGGGACCATTTGTGGCTGAAGGCATAGGCTAGAAATCCCAGGACAGGCTGCCAGAAGCCTGTGCCTTTGGCCTCAGCTGTGAGGGCTCAGAAACGCAACTGACCAGCACCCCACGAGCAGATGTGTCTCCCCGGTC